TTTATTTATTTATTTATTTTTCACAGCTAAGATTTTGCCGAATTCTCTTGATGATACAAGTTGCAATTTTTAATTCCTTTCCTTCCTCGACGACTTATCGAGATTAAAATACCTATTTAAGAAAAGAATTTATAATTTAATTTGGGGGATTTTCTTATATTTGATTTTGTAACCTTTTGTCAGTTCGGTAATTTTCTTATTTAATATGATTATATATTTTATTTTACTTCAGGTCATGGCTAGTAGAGTGGAACCCATAACTCTGATTTAATCACAAAAATTTATGCCCACAATTTATGCTTTAGAAATTTGAAAGTGGAACTTTTAATCATTGAACATTGAAAATTAATAGAAGGTAAAAAATAACTTATATGTGGATAATATTATAAATAAAATAAATAAAATATAGCAAAAAAATTATTTATTTATTTATTTTTTAAAATAAGATATAAAAACTAACTTATATGTCCATTTAATTTTCTTGTAAAATAATAAGATAATTATTTAGTATTATCATAATACATAGATAAGTCTTATCTAGTGTAAAAAGTCTATTTTATTCGAATTGTAATTCTCATTTTGAACCCTATAAATATGAGTTTTGATTCTCAATAAAATACACACTTTATGTTTTACTCTTATATTTTCTTCTCCTTTTATTCTATTACTTGAATTTCATAACATGTTATCAGCACGAGCACTTTTATCTAATTACTATTTTGTTTAGAAAAAAAATTATATTATGCTTTAAATAATTTTCGTAATAATTAGTCGTCTAAGACCTCTTAATTCTCAGGACCGGCACTGTTGATATGTATGAGATTCTAGAAGAGATCAGTAAGAGCTATTTTTCTAACCATCATATTACTACAGTCAGTAAATGTTGATGAATATTTCGCGTGAAGACAATGTTATTTGAAGATATTGACGTACAAGACAAGAATAAATTGATACAAGAATTGAAATTAGGGGAAGTAGTTAAACTTTTTTTTTCCTTCGATCAAGTATTGTTCCACTGGGTTTTCTTGATAAGATTTTAACGAAACGTTTTATTACTCCAAATTATTTGTACTCTTTTTTTTCATTTGTTGGTATTTTTTTCATTGATTTTTTTGCCAAATAATGTTTGAATGAGATAGTTATTGTGCAAATAATTATCAAATAAGGATTGTTGTAAATTAATGAGATATTTACTGATATTATTTAGTATTATCACGATACACATATTAGTCTTATTCAGTGTTAAAAGTCTATTTTATTTCAATTATAACTCTCATTTTGAACCCTAGAAATACGGGTCTTGATTCTTAATAAAACACACACTTGAGTTTTGACTCTTATACGTTTTTCTCCTTTTGTTCTATTACTTAGATACCGTTTGATAGTTTCCATTTTCTTAGAAAGTTGGAAAAGTCTTTCCATTTTCCTAGAAAGTTGGTGTTTCATTGGCACAAATTTCCCACCCAATTGTTTTCCCTCCCCACCCCCCAAGCGCCATAATTCCATGCAAATGATGAATTT